CTCCTGATTTTGGTTGGCGTTGTCGGCCTATGCCAGTTCTTGACTGCTTCTGTCTTCTGAGGGTCTACTTTTATTCCTTCACTAGATACCACATGGCCTAAGAATGCCACTGACTGCAACCAGAACTCACATTTTTAAAACTTGGCATAAAGCTCATTCTCCTTCAAGGTCTGCAATGCTATTCTGAGGTGTTCTGCATGATCTTCCTTGCTCTTAGAGTACACCAAAATATCGTCTATAAACGCAATAATAAAGGTATCAAGGAATGACTTGAAAACTCTGTTCATAAGGTCCATGAATGCAGCTGGAGCATTTGTCAACCCGAAGGACATCACTAGAAATTCATAGTGCCTGTAGTGAGTTCTAAAGGCTATTTTAGATATATCCTCTTCTCTTATTCTCAACTGATGGTACCCCGACCTCAAGTCTATTTTGAAAAGTACTTGGCACCCTGAAGTTGATCAAATAAATCATCAATTCTTGGCAGTGAGTACTTGTTCTTAATGGTAACTTTATTCAACTACCGATAGTCGACGCACATTTTGAGAGGCCCATCTTTCTTTTTGACAAACAGGACTGGGGCACCCCACGGTGAAACACTCGGCCTGATGAAGCCCTTGTCAAGAAGGTCTTTCAACTGCTCTCTCAACTCATTAAGTTCTACTGGAGCCATCCTATAAGGAGGTATAGATATGGACTGAGTGCATGGCATGAGATCAATGCCAAAGTCTATGATTCTTTCGGGAGGAAGTCCGGGAAGATCATCTGGGAAAACTTCTGAAAATACTCTAACAACTGGCACAGACTGAAGAGCTGGTGGTTCTAATTCTGGATTAATGATGTGAGCCAAATAGACGAGACACCCCTTACCGATCATTCGTTGTGCCTTAAGGTAAGAAATAAACTTACCTACAAGCGATGTTGAACTACCCTTCCACTCTAAGACTTCTTCATTTGAAAATGGGAACCTGACTATCTTGGCATGATAATCTAACATGGCATAGCAGGAAGATAACCAATTCATACCCATGATCATATCGAAATCCACCATTTCTAACTCTATGAGATCGGCTTTGGTGTTGCGACCATAGACTGAAACTATACAACCTCTATAGACTCTTGTTTCTTTCACTGACTCGCCAACTGGAGTATATACTAGGAATGACTCACTAAGTTGTTCAGGTTCTAGTCCGAGGTTAATTGCAAAGTATGGAGTCACATATGAAAACGTTGAACCTGGATCCATTATGGCATAAGCATTATGTGAGCAGACTAAAAGTATACTTGTAATAACTTCTGTAGATGCCTCTGCACTCTAACGATCAAGTGTAGCAAACAAACGGGGTTGCCCCCCTCCTTGAGTAACTCGATCTGCACCCCTGCTTGCCCCATGCCCGGCCTGATTATGAGAACCACGAGCCTGGGTGGTGCAACTGCAGTAGCTGAGGAACTAGAAGGACGAGTTGATCCACCACTAAAATTATGTCGCAACTTTGTGCAGTTGGCCTTTATATAACCAATGTCTCCACAATGATAGCAACCACGAAACCCAAGCTTGCACTGACCTGAATGTTGCCTCTTACATGTTCCACAAAGACCTTGTTGGTGTGAATGTTGCTCAGCCTGACTCTGGCTATGTGAGGATGATGTCCTAAAATTCTGATTCTGGCGAGACTAATTTCCATAACTCTGAGTACGTCTGAAGGAAGACCCACCACGTGACTGATGACTGGACTGAGCTGGTGCTAATGACTCCTTATTAGAGGAATCCCTTCCACCTCCGATGGATGTACCATTAACCTGCCTGCTGTCCGGGCTTTCTTGTTATGCTCTTTTTCTTCTCTCCTTTGTTGTCTGTCTTTTTCTAAGTGTTTGGCGAACCCCACAACAGAGGAGAAAGCTATTATTCCTACCGTTGCAGCTGATGTCATATCCTTAATGTGGTAAGCCAAACCGCCAACAAACCTGCGAATCTTTGCTTTTTATGTCTTAACCATGTGAGGAGCATGCTTAAGTGGCCTTATGAATTCCATGTAGTACTTTTGCACACTTTTATTCCCTTGCTTGAGCTGTTCGAACTCTGTAGCCTTAGCTTCTCTATCCTCTTCTGGGATAAAAAGGCCTCTTCAAATTCTTCCCAAGTAGGCGGACCATCATCTTCATCTCTTTCCTTTTCCCACGTCTCAAACCAAGCACCAACCACATCTTTAAGCTGGTAAGCAGCCAGCTCCACAGCTTCATCATCAAATGCTTTCATCACTCGGAGGGCTTTCTTGACACCCTCCAGCCACAACATTGGATCTTCATCAACTATAGAACCATGGAACACCGGAGGATTCAACTTTAAAAATTCATTCACTCTTGAAGACTCAGAATTGTTCTGTTTATTTGATTGAGGTGGAATTTCATCTCTTCTCTCGTTCTCGTTGGCCATGAAGGTTTTAAACATCTCCATAGCGCTGTTGACTGCATTAAACATCTGACCCACCTATGGGGATATAGCTGTCTGAGCCGGAGCTGCTGTTGGGGGCGGCACTGGATCCTGAGGTACTTGCTCATCATTATACACCCCTTTTTCACGTTCAACTCGGGGTACTTGGACCCCTTTTGTGGATCTACCCTTCCTATTCTGAGTTAAAGCCTTCTTAGTTCTGCCTTGAGCCACAATAGTAGCAATAGTTTCTTGAGCAACATCCTGAGTGTCGGTGTCAGAGTTGCGAGTACGAGCCATTTCTGTGAGTTTTGGAGAAACGAATACATTAGATAATTTCTTAGAGGTAGGATCTACTGCACGATCTAAAGTATGAAAAAATGAGATTTTTTTTCCTAAATGCTTGTAGCCTCCTGTTTATAAGTATGACGCGCTTCATACCCATAAACAAGACTCTACTAACACGACTTCATAAACCCCTAGGACTCCATAAACCTGAGGCTCTGATACCAAGTTATTCACGACCCATTTTCTGAACAAGCCGGGACCGGCACTCGATCACTAAAAATGACCGAGCGAACCATCTCTGCTTATCAAATCTATTATAACTCCAAACTTTATATGCAACAAGGCAATACTCTAACCAAATACTTTTGATTAATTTAAATATTTAAATAAATCAACTCCAAAACTTTAATTGTAGTAACTACTGAATTATTGCTAAGTTATTATCAAAAACATCTGAATCTTAACCCAACGACTATGTCTATGAAGCCTCTACTAATAAACTGACGCACTGCTCAGGACATGAGATTTCCTGGCCAGTTCTCTAAGAAAACAAAGAAATAACTAAATAAAGATAACTCTAAGGAAAACTCAATGAACAAAAGCGGAGCTCACCAATAGCACTGGAAGAGAAGAAAGTCCTAACTAGTAGCCTGCTCGCCTGCAAAACCGATTCCTACGTTGTACCGCACACCAACGTAGGTTCCCAAAAGAGAACGTCAGTACCATCCATTATACTCAGTGAGTCTCAACAACAGGGGGCGAAACTTTAATAACATATACATTACGAGCAAAAGTTCTAAATGCATGTAAAACATAAAGCTTATAAGAATAATTCTAAAATAATTACATAATAGCAATTTATGAATATTCTAAAAGAAATTCTTTTCTTTTTCTTTCTTATAAAAAAAATACTTCACTTTATACTTTGGGAGTTCCAACTATCCTGACTTAATTCTGTTTCAGTCACCGTGTGATCGGCACGGGTTCGATCCCAACCTGATCGAATAGGCCCAATCCACGAGGTGCCACTCGCTTCATG